AACTTATTTGATTCTGAGGTCCATAACAATGACGAGGAAACTAAGATATTACTTACAGGAGGATACAAAACTTGGACGCCACCACTTTAAACAGACAGTCATTACTGTAAGTCTTTTCATGTATTTTATCCTTATCCTGTGCTATAGCTACTGTACCCAGAATTGCTCCTATAGGGATAACAAACATTACTAAAAATGTCTGCTTAACCTTCACATTAGGCTGTACTATGTAAATAAATATTGATTAATTCAGTGGCTGAATGATGACTTTAAAATGTTCATCTGTATTGTGTGCTGTTGTCGCACCATATATTCTTTTTTAACACCGATTCAGGAGAATTAAAATATATATGATTGAGGTAAATTACACAGAGAAAGGTCTCTTCTTTAACTGCTGGTTAACCGTGGGTTGAATCTGGACTGGGTGACGCCCCGAGACACACCGTCTCCAGTCAGCCTTTTTAATTAGACGGAGTAACTCAGGTGCCGCAAAGCAAATGGGCTCTCTTCCGTGCAATAATCCTACCGCCTGACAGCTTATTGCTGCTCTGTAGAGATGGGCCTCGCTGAAATCAGACAGCTGAGCCTGAGGCTGATAGCTTCTGTGGTCTCGAGTCCGACAGATAGGAAAGTCTGGACGGTCCAAATGCTGCTCTTCTTATTGTGGCTAGTCGGGATGATCATAAGCAAAGACTGTGTTAGAGCTAACAGCAAATAGGATCAACAGAAGGCTTATCACCATGTGGTCGATGAGGGATTATTAAAAAAATACTAAACAAATCATAATTACTATTCGGGCTTTAGTTAAGCTTGACTATATGCTAGGGTATGTTAGCTAATCAACGTGAGGTAGCTTGTGATAAGCCACAAAAAGGTGGGTCCCATCCCTGTTCTCTAGCTTCGTCTGGAATCTCATGCACACACACACACACACATACACACATGCATGCACAGGGTTTCCCTTACATAGGAGTAGCTGTGGCGGCCCGCCACGGCTGAAATCCCACCGCCACGCCTACAACATCCCAAGTTTATTGATGTTTGTTTTTTTGCGCCGTTTCCCGAAGAAGCAGCGGGAACTACTGTGTTGTTGCTTGTGATCACAGCCGGCAGGTAGCAAGGAGGAGGAGGCAGGGCAGGGTGGTTACAGCTATGAGCGTACGGATAAAGCATTTTTGACGAATACGAGCAAGAAACGAGTGTAAAACTCGCAAATATCTGTAATCGTGCTGAATGAAATCCTCATTGGGTAACTGACTGTCTTCACGCTCTGTGATTGGCCAGTCAGAGCGCCCGCCCCTCCCTACACACAAAACTGCAGCCGGGAGCTCTGTCAGCTCGGCCCAGGCATCAACGCACACAGACAGACAGTAAGCCGGCCGTACACTGTGCGACTTTTTCACTTTTTTGAGCAGATTTTCCACTCGTGCGAGAATCCATAAGATCGGGGCGAGTTTAGCGTTGAGCGTCGTGTAGTGTACAGGGGGTTACGAGAGGCGATTAACACCACGTGACCAGCTACCGATCAGCAATCGTGAGCTCGCACGGACTTCTGGAGTGTTTGATATTTATCTCGTTCCTCATGAGGGTTGAAGCGGCGCAGCGAGCGGCTGCGACCCAAAATGTATCAGAACCGCTCACGGCGCATTCGCAATCCTGCATCAACTCCGCTCACCCGCTATTTACCTAATAACACACGTTGTTCGTTTTTATTTCTACACGTTTTTTTACTCACAATGATTGTCAAGAAAGCGTGTTTGTCGTGTTCATGTCAAATTATACTGATCACAAAACACAGATTCACTTTCTTTATTTCGTTTTCCTCATCCAACCCCCATAAATCCCTGTGTGTCCTCCTGCAGCACTCCTGAAGGACAACAGGCAAGACAAGACTAAAAAGTCTGACGTGTTGTGTAAAAACTGCTATTTTTAGCATATTTTAGGTCCGACGTGTTGCTACCAGACGTCCAGTGAGCGCAAGACTCGTGAGATCTGCCCTGCGAGGAAGTCGTACAGTTTGAGCTGAAGCTGTGTTACGAGTGAAAAAGTCGCACAGTGTCCGCCCAGCTTATTATAATGTTCACTGTAATGCATCTTGATGTTCTTAACAAATAAATCAAATAAAAAATATTGGTCAATAATGCCAAATATGTAAATTTGAGTTTCTGTCATTTTTATACTGGCTTAAAAATACTTCATTAAGTCTACTAAGCAGGGGTGTAGAACATTTTTAATAGGGCCAGCCCAGTAATGATCTTGGACCAAAATAAAGGGGGCAGAGAGTCAAATAAAGGGGGAAAAAGATGTTTTTCCAGACGCCAAGAAAAATTAAATGCCAAATCCACCCTGCAAAGTGTGTCACTGAGAGTTTAAAACAGAAATTATTCTTGTGCAAATATTGGTGTATTCACCTTTAATACTAGTTATTACAATGCAGCAGTCGCTGGATTAGTGCAGTTCAAAGTGGAGCGCATCAAATTAAACAATATTAACATAAAGGCGAGGCGTGTCTTCCCCCCCCCCCCCCCCCCCCCCCCCCCCCCCCCCCCGCAACACCACCTCCACCACAGCTGGAAAAATTCCTAGGGGAAACACTGATGCACACACACGCGCACATACACACATGTACACACACATGCGCGCGTGCACACACACACACATCTACACACACGCACGCACACACACATACACACACGCTCGTGCACACACACGCACATACACACACGCTCGTGCACACACGCGCACATACACACACATACACACACATGCGCGCGTGCACACACACACACATATACACACACGCACGCACGCACACACACACACACACATACACACACGCTCGTGCACACACACGCACATACACACACGCTCGTGCACACACGCGCACATACACACACATACACACACATGCGCGCGTGCACACACACACACATATACACACACGCACGCACGCACACACACACACATACACACACGCTCGTGCACACACACGCACATACACACACGCTCGTGCACACACGCGCACATACACACACATACACACACATGCGCGCGTGCACACACACACACATATACACACACGCACGCACGCACACACACACACACACACACTCCAAGCGATGGGCAGAAAAACAACAAAAGA